GAGGTAGAGACTCGGGGGGGGGGAAAGCCTCTCTCACTGGCTCAACTGTACCTCACTGTGCCTCTGATATCTGGTAGTTTATTGTCCTTGATGCCCAAAACACTGCCCAGTACTCAACGTAATGTTAACTGGAAACTTCACTGATAAACACTCTTTTGGTTCTTTTTCATCGTGGTTCGAACCAGAGTCTTTCATGTGTGATTTGATGCACAGACAACAACGTATAGCGCTAGAATGTCCACTACAAGACAATTAAATACATCCTGGGGACGACTAACTATGCCAGAACAAACTGCAGGATACTAAGGTTGATGTAAATTATTCAGTACTGTAGTGTGAACTCCTCAGTAGCCACGAGGAAGAAAACTCAAACTCCGGAATGAAGGTTTGAGAGAGGAAACGTCAACAACCTTATTTACTTATATATAACTGATGACTTATATTCACGAGGATCATTTGCCTATGTGTGAGTGTGAACGGCAGGACAGATGGCACGTAGGTTCATACGTAGAGAACACACTAGAGACAGGTGCCAACAGAACACGTGTGAGTACACAGCATAACGCTTGATATGGGTCTCTCTCTCTCTCACACACACACACACACACTTTTCACAAATATTTCCTTTCCTAAATTCGTTACTAACACAGTATTATCGAATTAGTTTTAAATAATAGTGACTAAATAAAACTGTGATTCTATAGAGATTTCAGAACTCGACAAAAATATATTTTCACATTATTTTATATCTTACGCATATGGGAATATCAACCGTGCCAAATGATAACGGTGTTTTTTCTTATAAACAAATAGATCTGTGTATTTTCTCTATTTTCAATGATGAATTATTATTCTAAACATGCGCGGGTGTTCCTGAGTGTTCACGCTTAGAATGAAAATATTCTAAACATTTCGGACTCTAAGTTATGGAAAAGCTGAGCTGCTGCACTCTAACATTGTCCCCGTTAATTTATCATAGGAAAACCTCTCACACAGCTCCCGCCCTACACCACTGTTCTCATGTACTGTACACAATATTTAATCTTGCGCGTCATCCTGCTGGCTGCTAAATGACTTGCTGTAAGACTAATATGAATGATTCCATGTTATGATTATAACGAGTGTGGCCACAGAATGACCCATAATTTTTACCTCTGACCATTATTACATTGATAATTAAGTCCAGCTGTGTTATGACTGTCATGTGATAATTTCCTCTTCATTATGAACCCTGACTTCTTAGCAGGCAAATATTTATCAAAGGAACTCAAAAAGTGACCAACACATTAATCATTGTTCTTAACATTTGTGACACAGAAACTCATCGTTATCTCTACATAAATGTTGCTCTTCATCTATTCACAATAACTAAATCTATACTGTAAACATCAAGATCATTTAAGGAATTAATAAAAAATTTCTCATAAATGACCATCGCCAGACACAGATGGTGACTCGTCAACTAACCGGCCACATCTTCCTTTAACCAATACAAGAGATCCTTTTGCATAGGAACATTCTTTCACATGTCTTGGAATGTTGCATTTACAATATACAGTTTCTGTCAGGCTTTGTTGATCTAGGCATCACTGCGGGCTCTAGTTAACAATGCACCACCGTGGAGGAAGCAGTGAGTCACCTGAGAAGCTAACTGATTCAGTCTACTCTACCCCGCAGGATGTGATAATTGAAGGAGTTAAACAACTTCAGATATAAATTGGTGTTAACAAACATGTATGCACGAAATACACCTAGAGTTTTAAAGACATTACGTCAATACAGAGGAAAGAATAATTTTTAACTTCATCGGTCTTGACCAGAGAATTGGTCCAAATTAAGAAGGCGGCCAGTCATTCTAGGTGCAACTTCCGCAGCTCGTCTCTTGCCACGTCAGTCTGGGTAGCTGACAGCATCACTGTCAATACACACAACAGCGGATGTCACTTTTCTTAGATCTTCACCAAGTGTGGCCGACACATATATCACCAGCTCACGGACAGGAAAGTAATTGTCCAAATTCGGTACAGTAACCCGAGTTCTTGCAGTTTCTCGTAACGGAAAACGACAATTACATTGGGATAATAACATCCGCAGCTGTTCCTTAGTATAGTAATTTTAGGAGTATATTGTACCAAATTCCTTTATCTGCGTCTTAAAAGAAATGTTCACATGAGGGTATCAGTTGTACCGACAGTTTGATCATCGTCTCGAGTCATTCCTCCGAAAGGAAAAGGTCACAATTGTCAGGGATGTTATGAAGCATTAAGAACAATATTCTCCTATAAAGGAACTGATACGGAAAGAAAAAAGGTCTTCAACAAAATTTGGTATATTGTTGAAAAGCAAACTAGTGGTTCTACACCTCTAAATACAGTACGGTACTGTACACCCTCACCAAGAAAAAGTGGGTGTGAGCTCCTAATTGATCTTTATCGTAGAGTTATCCCCAGACCTGCAGACCTCCACCCCACTTATAGGTTAACGCTCCTAAAGCTACAGTACAAGAAAACATGAAACAGGTTCAGACCAAGTTAGAGGCTCAGTCACGGACCTTCGCCTGGAACAGCAAAATCAGTTTCTCGATTAAACAGACAGTTCTCCTTGTTGACATGGGGGAACGTGAGTGACGAACAGGCGTTCACCCAAGTAACCGGCCACAAGGATCAAGGAATCTAGTCAAGACTCAAACAGGACACAAGTGATGAGACGCGTCGTGGACGACTTCCAACTCTTGACGGCGATCGATCGTTCTTAAACGAGGAAGTTTAATTTCTGGCCAGACACTCAGGGTTAGGGTCGAACTTAACAAAAGTATATACATCTATGTAGTTCATCTAGTCCATCATGAACGCTTCGGGAGTCACCAAGGGAACGAGAAAATAAGAGTGTATTATGGATTTGATAGCGGCCAAACATGTGTCAGCCCTTGATAGTTTTAGTACATGAAAAAAAAAAAGATGGCTGACAGCATTTTGTTAATAAGTCGATAACGCTGAAAACTATATTTTTGTTGTGGTCGGACACGTAAAACACTTTAAAATTACGCACATACAGTTGACCAAATTTAATTAAAATAGGTTCAGTTCACAGCACACGAGCTTTTTATCTATTTATTAAAAAAAATATTCATTTGAGCAGTAAGACATGAACCGAACTATTGCAATAACTCAGTAGCCTATTAGCATATAGTGTTCGCATCTGACTTTTTTAAGAGGTACGAGACATGTGAAGAAATCAAACCTACAGGTCTCGCACTCCTGGATGATAGGTAGGAGGCCTTGAGGTGATATAAACATAACAACAGGTCTATTATATGCTATACAGTTTGGCTAATCAGTAGGGGAGGGGTGAAGCCGTGACACAGGAAACGGAAGTCCTCATATCACTTCAACGAATAACAGGCAATGACTCTCACAACCAATTAAGTGGCGGTGGTGGGTAATGGGTGGTGGTGGGGTGGGTGGTGGTGGTGGTGGGTGTGTGGTGGTGGTGGGTGTTGGTGTGTGTAGTGGTGGTGGTGATGTGGTGTGGTGGTGATGGTGGTGATGGTGATGGTATGGTGGTGATGGTGTGGTGGTGTGTGGTTGGTGGTGATGGTGGTGATGATGGTGGTGGTGGTGATGGTGATGGTGGTGGTGGTGATGATGGTGGGGTGGTGGTGATGTGTGGGTGGGGATGGTGGTGGTGTTGATGGTGGGTGGTGGGTCGTGATGGTCAACAACAGGGAGTGCACCAGACAGTGAATTATACTCTTTGTCCGGATACCGACCCAGGGAACAGGAAGCGAACAGTGTATCCACTCGACCACCGCACTCTTTTATACCTAATGACCTAATATTTATCCTCGCACACGCACGCACGCACGCACACACACACACACACACACACACACACACAGGTGAAGGGAGACTCGCTTACAAACACCCGACCTGACACTGGGCGGGTCTCATATTGGGTTTCCTGGAAAATGTCAACAATCTGGCTATGAGGCCGGTTAGTGTATCAGGTGCACCCCGAGTCAACCCCGCCCATAATAGACCCAAACACTACCTTAAAATTAACTCGCCCACTCCACCCATATCACACCACACCCACTTCATCACCATCACCCTACCCAACCACATCCACCACCCCACCACCCAACCAAACCTCACCCCACCACACCCACCCACCCAAATCACTCAGCCCTATCCCACCCAACTCAACACGACCACACTCACCTCAATATCTTCCACCCTACCCCACCACCACCCCCACCACCCTCGCCCCTCTTTGCTTGTGTGTGATCAGCTCGCGAACAAAATTTTCCCTCCACGTTCATTTACAACTACAACAAAAATCTTTAAATAGACATCATGTAATGGACTGACTGTGAAAAACTCTTGTCTTTCACATCACACATTCAGTAATTCGGGTAACGGGGACGCTGTTTCAATGCTCGCCTGTGGGAATATTTCTATTTTTAGAGCGAAGTATAATGATTGTTGTGTATAACGTCCACTAAGACTATTATTCCGCAATCATGAAATACATGACAAATTGCATCCAGCAGAGATGAGACAATGCAACTCTGTATGTGTGTGTGGGTGGGTGGGTGGGTGGGTGGTGACAAGTCCACAACACCACATGTAGATACACCATGTCTATGATCACTGTGGCCCTCAAGTTACTTACACCTCTCCCAACACTGTGAAAATAACGTACATGTAAAAAAGGAATTAATTCTTAACTATTATTTCTTGAACTAAAACATAAGGCAAAATGCATTACAAGTATTTCCTCGTGAGGGACAGTAAGAATAATCGGTTTTCAGCTTTACCAAGGTCAATGTTCTTGTATTCACCCTGTGTTCAGAAGACGGGTGCTGGGGCAATTTGTTTTTTAATTTCCTTTCAAGTAATCTCACTCACTCACACACACTTTTATTATTATTATTATTATTATTATTATTATTAAACACTGTGTCTGCAGTCTCCCCTCATTGTCTCTTCTCCCCGCAGGTGCACGAGTGGGAGATCGGCCTCCACAAGCTGAAGAGCAAGATGGAGATCGACCCTGCTACCCTCATGGACGTGGGCTACTACGAGTGTCAGGCTAACAACAAACACGCTGTCGACCACCGTGGCTTCCGCACCCAGTACACCGCCGGCCTCTAGTGTCCAACACCCAATACACCGCCGGTTTCCAACACCCAATACACCGCCGGCCTCCAACACCCAGTACACCGCCGGCCTCCAACACCCAGTACACCGCCAGCCTCCAACACCCAGTACACCGCCGGCCTCCAACACCCACGTACACCGCCAGCCTCCAACACCCAGTACACCGCCGGCCTCCAACACCCAGTACACCGCCGGCCTCCAACACCCAGTACACCGCCGGCCTCCAACACCCAGTACACCCCACCTGTACAACACCCTGATCTGTACATCGCTAGCATAAAAATGTTAGTCCTTTATACACCTTATACTGTAACAGTGTTATCAGAACATTCCTAGTGAAGTATCCCACGGCCTGTACTGACGTGTGTAGCACTGGCCAATAGTGACTTTACAAAAGTGTGCATCGCACAAATTTGGCGATAATTACTGTATTGTAGATAGTACCTGGTGTGTGGCGAGGGGTGTTTATAGTGTAGACGGGACAGCAACACACCCTGCACCGCAACCTCTCTTCTCTCTATCTCTTGGACCACTCCTCATCTGTTAAATCTGACCTCTGACCTTTGCACTCTAGGTGATGGGAGCGTTACACAATTATTATCGTGGTGATATCTCCAGGTGAAACACCCAGGGGCAGTGTGGGAGGGAGGTGGTGCAGGGGCGGTGGCCAACCCTCACTACCCTTTGACGATTGATCACTATTGACGCCACATGACTCCCCTCCCCCTCGGCGGCGCTCGGCTCCACCACCTGTCATTTTACTCACGCCTCAAAATCTTTCCCCAAACTCATACAACATAAAGTTTTGAGCAGGGCGCCGAGACACAAGTCCCGGTGATGGTGGGAGCCACACCACACTCAACCTTCCATCACAAAGACAAAAGATCGATATCCCCTTGGCCCGGTGCTCATCAAAGCTCCAGCATCCAGGAATCACACCATGAAAGGAATTTCGTTTCAATTAAGCGCTCGGAAAGGGAAGTGTGCGAGTCTTAATACACGAATGGATGTAAGTTTAATGAAAAATCTCTTCCATGGGCAGTGAGACTCACACTTGGTGACTGGGAAATATCTTAACATTTCCCTAACTTCGGCGTTCAAAAAAAATAAACAGTGGTAGGAGATGGTGCTGCGCGTGGTGGCTATCCTTGGGCAACAACGCACCTTAACAATAGTCTTGGTGTTGACAGACGCTTCACTCCCGTGCTCCAGGTTCACCGTGGCGACCAAATATATTCTGAGGTTTATAATTGCATGGGCAGTAGCCAGGCTGATTACCTGCTGTCCTAATACATAGTCCACACGTGTTTTATTCTTTTAAGTAACGTAAGTTAAAACTATATTTTATATGACGTTTGAAGAAAAAATATTAAGGGTAACTCGACCGACCTTAGGTATAAAAACTTCGACTTTAATTTTACTTTTGTCATTAAACCTGGGATGAAAAGGGAGTTTTTTTAAGTTTGTGCAGTGTGATAAGAATGTCTCCATCTTACAGCGTGCATCTTCATTATAACATGAGTAACGGCTACCATAACACAATTAAGGAAAAATGTGAATTTTCCTGCCCTAGATTTTGTAGGCGCATTACCACAAACATTTCATTTTGATATTATATAAAACATTACTTTTTGGCTTTAAATAAAACACATTTACCGTACTGTTATTCAACCAAAGGGCAAACGGTTACTCTCTCTGCAACAAACAATACACTAAAAACAATTAAAAATAAGTTCTGGTGGTAGTTGATTTAAATGGTGATTTTCAATATTGCATTTTTGCGTGAAAAATCAGGATTACCCGATTTTCAGCAAGGCTACCAGCTGTTAAATCCCGGTAGCCCCGTTAGCTTATGCGATTTCCTAACAAATTCAGACTCCTGAGCAGTACACACCACAGGCATCACCCCACCAAACATACATACACACATATGTAGCACTGGATCCAGGAAGAAAACTCAGGCTACGATTGCAAGTTTGTGTGGCGAGGAGAACTGCGCTCAAGCACGAAGCGAGAGTGACTGACTGTTCGGAGGCCACCCAGGAGTATACAGAAGGTACCGGCCGGCTGACTGAACGAAGCTGTCTCGCCTCAAGTCTCGAACCAAGTTCAGCCACGTCAGCCAGCCGATTCAACAAGAGAACAACTTCAGGGTAATTACAAAAATGTATAGGCATCTGTTATGTTACATTACATCACATTACATTAATCTACAACAGTTTAAATACAAGTAGAAAACAATGTGTAATTATTCTTGAGTCGCTACACATACATACATACATACATACATACATACATACATACATACATACATACATACATACATACATCATTCCAGGTGACCCGAGACTGAGATAAAACTTGGACCTCTCGACCAGTTTTTCACCAAGTGTCCTTGACCTTTGACCTGAGCTAACCTATATCTACACTACCGTGCTCAAGATAACCGTAGAGAAGTTAACATGACGTTAATGAACCATGAATAACGTACAGTATCTGATGGTTCTCTACAAAAAAAAAATCCTCAGATATATTTTTCACTAATTTCAGTTTTTCATTTATGGATGTCTGGCCTGAATGAAGAGCATATGTTTACAATGTGTAAATTCAGCGTATCCAAACGTGTGGAAATTGTTGTACTGTACAGGCAAGTTTCGGACTGACTGACTGACAGACAGACAGACAGACAGACGGCACGGAGGAACAATAGCTTTCCAGTCAAACTATTAGGTGTTAGGGCGAGACGGCAGGCATCTGATGTACAATACAGTAGGTGGATGTGTAGTCATCTTGGTGGCAGTTAATCCGTAACACGACACGAGATGATGATGATGATGATGGAGGGTGGAGACCAGTGTCATGAGGACGGTGCTTGTATGTGTTTGGTGGGTGAGGCTGGTTCTCACGTTCATACACCCTGTTCATTACCACCACCACTCGCTCTCCTTGCCTCACCCCTCCCACTTACTGCGTCGCATCTTCTGCTCTTCTAGACACGTACTGCGTTGACCCTCACTCATTACTTTGTTTAATTACGTCACGCATTCCGCCTCTCGCTGCTTGGCTGTGTTACATCATTCCATCCCTGACCACCCAATGCGTTACATCGTTTGACTCCCTCTATACCAATTATGTCACATCTCTCAGCCCTCTTAACCCCATACACTATCCTATCACTAACTTATGACACACTCACCATACACTGTCACTAACTTATGACACACTCACCATAAACAAGTACGAACTTATGACACACACACTCACCATAAACTATCACTAACTTATGACACACTCACCATACACTCATTAATTTAGGACACACACTTCCGGTACTACAGTATACACAACACACTCACATGGAGTGCTGTGTGGATCTCGGTGTACACATGAGCTGGCTATGGTATGGGTTAACACAATGGCTAAGTTGACACACACACACACACACACACACACACACACACACACACACACACACACACTTAAATACCGGGCGAGTAAAAATTGACTACCACACTCCTACACTAACACCACACACACTATCACACCCCTACACTAATACCACGGACACTATCACACCGCTACAATAACACCACACTCACTATCAAACCCCTACACTAACACTGCACTCACTATCACAGCCCTATACTAACACCACACTCACTATCACACCACTATCAAACCCCTACACTAACACACACTCACATCACATCCCTACACTAACACCACACTCACTATCACACCCTTATACTAACACCACACTCACATCACACCCCTACACTAACACCACGCCCACTATCACACCCCTATACTAACACCACACTCACTATCACACCCCTACACTAACACCACACTCACTATCAAACCCCACACTAACATTGCACTCACTATCACACCCTATACTAACACCACTCACTATCACACCCCTACACTAACACCGCACTCACTATCACACCCCTACACTAACACCACACTCACTATCACACCCCTACACTATCACTGCCTCACATCACACTCCTATACTAACACACTCACTATCAAACCCTACACACAACCACTATCACACTATACTAACACCCACTCACTACCACCCCTATACTATCACCAACACTAACACACTCACTATCACACCCCTATACTAACACCACACTCACTATCACACCCCTATACTAACACCACCCCACACCCTACTAACACCACACTCACTATCACACCCCTATACTAACACCACACCTATCACACCCCTATACTAACACCACACTCACTATCACACCCCTATACTAACACCACACTCACTATCACACACCTATACTAACACCACACTCACTCATCACACCCCTACACTAACACCACACTCACTATCACACCCCTATACTAACACCACACTCACTATCACACCCCTATACTAACACCACACTCACTATCACACCCCTATACTAACACCACACTCACTATCACACCCCTATACTAACACCACACTCACTATCACACCCCTACACTAACACCACACTCACTAACATCACTCATTATCATTCATCACTTTCTTTGTATTATCACCTGTAGCGCTCCTCGTCACTTGTAACTCACCTTCACCATCACTCACCATAACATTGCTTCACCACATCTAGTCACCATCACCATGCTCTTTTAAATATTCATCGTAATTTGGCTTTCACTGTACCCACACTCCTTAATTTTACGAGATGAATCAAATCATTCATTTTTCACAATCAATAGCCCACTTCTTGTCCCACCGCTCGCCCCGCCCATGCCCCGCCCCGCCCCGCCCCGCCCCGGAGGTAGCCAGCGAAGGTTATTTCCGCCACTTTAATTATTCACCAACAAGGTCACAACCATGAGGATATTCACGTTTGTGTGTGTGTGTGTGTGTGTGTGTGTGTGTGTGTGTGTACAAGTGTGTTAAACATCCACAAAACAACATCACCCGCCGCACCACCAAACTACAACACCACTATCCTCACCTTACTCGCCCCACCTCCCTACCAGTTTCATCAGCACGCCTTTATGTAACAATTAAAGGGCTAACTGTCCCTACACAGTCGTTACTGAACAATATCACTGTATTGAATCCTGTCACAATATACTGTGATAAAAGTCGTATTCCCCAAAATTGAACATCAACGATCTAAACTCGACCTACAGTACTGACAGACACTCACAGCTTGTCATTAACACTCAGCTCACAGTTGTTATCAAGCGGCCACAGTTATCACTAGTTTTCTCTAACTATAAAACAAGAGATGAGAAGGTGGAGGCCTTATTGCCTTATGGAAGGAATCATTATTTTCATCTCTCTCTCTCTGCGTTCCACGCTCCTCATGACAGTATCACAGGTGGGAGGATCAGCCCGGTACTATCATGGTCGCATCCTATTATATTGGATGGATTCTATTGGTTACTATACTCGTATTGTTACTAAGGTAAGGGTGGGAAGAGTCGCGCGACGCTCATCTTCGACACCTCGGCTACTCAGCGTCCATAGTGGGTGAAGCTTATATCAACAAGGGACACCGAGTCAATGTACGCCAGGGCCTTGGTTTTACCTTTACCAGGGATTCTAAAACTGTCTAAATCTGAGTAAGACTTCATGATGAGGCTCCTGTCCGTAAGATGCTCGAACTCGGGATCACGAAACACAGCGCCACTTTTACCGTCACCGAGTTAAGTGTCCAGGATAATTATAGATGACTCATCAAATTGTAAAACTTGTGATCTCTCACCTGTAAAGTGTCGTGAAGAGTAACATGTTTAATATGTATATCAATATGTGTACTGTTCAGGATTTCATTAATCAGTGCCATTTGTTGTGAGTTACTGAGTTAGCACACCTGGTGACCCACGCAACTGTTACCTTACCAACAATGACCTGTCAAAACACACACACACACACACACACACACACACACACACACACACGCGCGCGCGAGGAGACAGTACACAGCAACTTCTACATACAGTACACCTTTTTAATCATGTTGAGGAATATCCTAATTGTCAATTTCACATGTTCCTCTGCAAAAGAAATATAAATGCAGAACTTGGTAGATTTTGTTGTGACGATGATCCCGTGTATGAACTTAAAGATCTACAACATAACACTGTACAGGTCATTCACGTGAGCGTTTTAAACCTTTCTTATATAAACATTGTATCTAATTTTCACTAAGTATAGTAGTATTACTCTCTCTGTATAGATACACCTATTTTATTTATTATGGATAGTGATGAAGTTTTGTTGTAATATAATAATAGTGATGCACGTGCCGCTGGTAATGGTGCGTATATGGAGCCCCTCAACACGGGTGACATTTTTTCCCCTTCATAATTTGCCTCGAGTCGTGTAGTAATTCCTCTGTTTATATTTACTAAAACAATTGTTCTGTTAAATTTACTAAAGAAAATTATTGGGCATTCAAAACACATGGTAGACTTTCCCACAAAAGATGTCAAGAGACGTACTGTACGGCAGAACTGTTATGGTGGGTGACAGCAGTGCGGCTCTACTACACGTACAGGCGATCGACAATATTCTACTCTAAAACGGGATAAGTAAACACAGAATGTTTGAGTGTGCAAGAGTTGTGCAGCACGTGGCTTCGTGATGGTTATTCAATTCTCTATACTGTATTATTCATAATTACTGTGTGACGATAGCAATTATTATTATTATTATTATGTCAGTCAACGAAGATAGCTTTTAGTGTGTGTTTACGAGTAGTCAAGTGGTGTAGGAGTGACTCAAGTGCAGCCCTGACTCATGTACAGAATAGTTGTGTCCTCTTGGTCTAGTGCTGCACAGTGATGGCTGGCGTTGGCTTATGACTATTCATATACTGTACATTAACATGTCAATAACTTTCTGATGAATGGATTCTGTATATTACTTGTCTCAACATATCACTATTTTTGTTATTAATATAGTGTAGATATTAACAAATCTTTCGATTAAATTTGCACAATATGGCCTCTTGATGTACGCAGTTCTCATAATTTCCTCTCTACTTTATATTTTGATACGATAAACTCGGTAGACGAGAAATCCGTGTCCCATTCATATTCTTCCCGCTGCCGTAATAATTCATTTTTAATACAGTAACTCTTTAAGTTACATATCTTACACTCTTCAGCAACACCCAGGCTACAGACGAGAGCTGGACCCTCGTCAGTTCAAAGCTACACATACAAAGGCTGGAATCCTCTCCCGCCACGCCGTTACCTATAATAGGTGGCGCTATTTCCAGGAGCAAAAACCTCAAAGCCTTTCCATGCAGAACATCAGTTACTTGCAGACTGATCTCCGACATTTCCATCAGAATGAGCATAAATTTCAACAACTTCCATTCACTGCGAGTTATCTGACCGTTGCCTGCCAAATCAAATTTTGCTGCCAGTGGTCGGAAGTAAACTTTTAAATTGGTTAAAATTGATTAAAAACATACTACTTCTTGCACACTTTTATTTAATACTTAACGTGTGCGGGAACCCTGAGTTTCGTTAACTAAGTGTCATAAGCAATGAGACGGAAGATGTCAGCTGCTCTCCTCCACCACTTATTGCTATGTAATATACTTATATTTATGTACGTATACGATGCTGGGCCAAGGCTGTGAGGTTCTGACTCCGTTACAGTGTGGCAGCTGCCAACTTGAAAAAAAATTCACATCAGCTGTTTGAAAGATAAAATTTTAGTACACAACCTTTGCTTTCTCATCAATTTACAACATTTTTCAGACATAATAAAACAGAATATGCAGAAATTATTAACAAATGTCGTTCATGTTGCGAAGGTAAGGTATTTCTGAATATAGCTTGGCAGGGACCGGTCTCACAGCTCGGCCGGATAAGAAGCCCACGGATAGTAGGCTACAGATAATTGCTCGGCTGGTGTTTAAAGCAACGGATTTTGACTCGACAAAGTATAAAGTACTCGACAGAGGCACGACGCTGCTCCCCAAGGCTCGGAGTTTCCCATCCATGACTTAACCAAGTTGGTGAACTTTGGTAATAAACACCATGTTAGACCAAACCTACTGTCGTAGTCGCTTGGAGTTTTGTCGTTATATATTCACTAGACGAATTTACTCAAAATACGTTGGTAAACATTTCCTTGATGGTGGTCAAAGTCCCCTTGATGGTGGTCAAAGTCTCCTTGATGGAGGTCAAAGTCTCCTTGATGGTGGTCAAAGTCTCCTTGATGGAGGTCAAAGTCTCCTTGATGGTGGTCAAAGTCCCCTTGATGGTGGTCAAAGTCCCCTTGATGGTGGTCAAAGTCTCCTTGGTGGTGGTCAAAGTCCCCTTGATGGTGGTCAAAGTCTCCTTGATGGTGGTCAAAGTCTCCTTGGTGGTGGTCAAAGTCTCCTTGATGGTGGTCAAAGTCTCCTTGATGGTGGTCAAAGTCTCCTTGATGGTGGTCAAAGTCTCCTTGAAGGTGGTCAAAGTCTCCTTGGTGGTGGTCAAAGTCAACTGTTTGGCGAGTGGACGGCCCATTGTTTGAGCTCGAATAGTCCAAAAAAAATCAAATTAGCGTCAGAGATTTCAGATCTTGTGATAATTGCTGGTTAACATGCTGGCAGGTCATTCACCACTACATCATACATACTATAAGGGGTGCCATAGGAAGCATCACCAATCTTATCTCCTTTTTCCTTCAGTATAGTGTACACTGTACTGTACAGTAGTGACTAGCGAAGCAATACCGTGTATTCACAGCGAGCAATAAATGTGAGACATCTGGCAATTTTCGGTAACTGCAAGGATTAAGTTTGTTAAGTGTCGTGTTGGTATGGTGATAACTCCTCCATCAACACAACACACTACCTGACTAAGGGAATAGTAAACCTAAGAAATTTCACCTCTCGAAGACAATAACTGTACAGGCAATTCTCAATATACACAAAAGGTGCGTCCACACGTGCGTACATTTTGTCGCCAACATGTGATCGACAAGACAAAGTGAGGCACAGGGTTCCGACTCTTGGTAGGGTGCGGCTGCGTGCATTAGATCGGTGTTTCCTCTTGTTGATCACATGTTGGCGACAAAATGTACGCACGTGTGGACGCACCTTTATTCAGTCTCCACTTCCTTTTAAAACCAATGGGCCCTCAGGCACTACAATAACACGAGACATACCCGAGATACACAACGTTGTAACGCCCAGTAAGCGATATTACTTCATTCCGAAATAAAAAAAGTAGATAAATGCGGTGTGAGAATGAGGAAAATCTTGACACAATTTATTGGAGTCTGTAAATATAAAAGAGGCAGTGGAGTAAGGAGTTCCTCAAGTGGCCAAGAGGACGCTGAGTGCCATTCAGGCAACACAGGACCACCTGGCGGGTATGTGGCGAGTTTCTACATTACATGATCATAGTTTGTGTGAGACAGTGAGTGAGAGAATGTGGGGGGTGAGGACCACACTGTCCAGCTCTCAACGCTAACAGTAATGCGTACAACAACCATCATTTATAAATCGTTTACTGTCATCTTTAAAAGTTTAAATAACAACCTATAAATGGAAGGACAATGCATACTGAAATAACATAGACAGGTTATCACTTCTAAATTCATTAAATAAAACTTAAGGTTACTCTCACCAATGACCGGTCAACTTGTTCATGTTTTAAGGAACTATAGTTGACAATGTACAGTACTGACAACAATAATCATTCTACACAAAACACATTCACACTTGCCGAGAAGAAATACCCAACCACTACTAATAAGATGAAAAATTAACAGCAACAGTGACTGTCTGACGAAAAGTTATGACTGATAATAAATGTTTGTGTAATATGTGTTATACCGTGCACAGTTCAAAGGTTTTTTCATCTGGCATACAAGTCGGATATAAGAAAATGGTTTGTTAGTTTAATTGTTTTAATTGTAAGGGCTATCTGAGCGTTGGTAGTGGTTATGTGTGGAGTCGATCTCTCTCTCTCTCTCTCTCTATCTCTCTCTCTCTCTCTCTTTCTCTCTCTAACCCCCCCCCACACATACACACTCCAGCACAAATTTACACATTCAAAATCCCATCTCTTGAAATATTTGTTATCTAATCATCTAAAAAAACGTTCGTTATATTAATCAAATGAATACATACGGTTTATCATTACGTTAATGTGGGTGGTGGAGGTTAATGTGGGTGGTGGGAGTTAATGTGGGTGGTGGGAGTTAATGTGGGTGGTGGAGGTTAATGTGGGTGGTGGAGGTTAATGTGGGTGGTGGAGGTTAATGGGTGGTGGAGGTTAATGTGGGTGATGGAGAGTTAATGTGGGTGGTGGGGAGTTAATGTGGGTGGTAGGGAGTTAATATTATTGGGTGGTGGGGTTAATGTGGTGGTGGGGAGTTAATGTGGGTGGTGGAGGGTTAATGTGGTGGTGGGAGTTAATGTGTGGGTGGTGAGTTAATGTGGTGGTGGAGGTTAATGTGGGTGGTGAGGTTAATGTGGGTGGTGGAGGTTAATGTGGGTGGTGGGAGTTAATGTGGGTGGTGGAGGTTAATGTGGGTGGTGGAGGTTAATGTGGGTGGTGGAGGTTAATGTGGGTGGTGGAGGTTAATGTCTGTCTCTCTCTCTCTTATAATACAACACCTCAATATTTTCATTATCATATAAGTGTTAGCAACAACAGAAGAGGAGTTTTCCTTACTAACAATGTACCGTTGGTCCCGGTATATCTAAGACACATTTATACTTCTTCATTAAAACCTTCAACATTATTTCTCGATACTTTTAATTTTTAGTCGAGTTCAGTGTTTCAGACCTATATTTATATTGTTATCTATGATAGTGTGAATAATGGTTGGTGTACCTAGAGATCCACTATGTCTCTACTGGCCTGTGACACAACCTGTGTTTAATGGCTCACAGCTCCACTATGTCTACTGTACTGGCCTGTGACATAACCTGTGTTTAATGGCTCACAGCTCCACTATGTCTACTATACTAGCCTGTGACATAACCTGTGTCTAATGGCTCACAGTTTCACTATGTCTACTGTACTGGACTGTGTCACAACCTGTGTTTAATGGCTCACAGCTCCACTATGTCTACTGTACTGGCCTGTGACATAACCTGTGTTTAATGGCTCACAGCTCCACTATGTCTACTATACTAGCCTGTGACATAACCTGTGTCTAATGGCTCACAGTTTCACTATGTCTCTGTACTGGCCTGTAACAACCTGTGTTTAATGGCTCACAGCTCCACTATGTCTACTGCTGGCCTGTGACATAACCTGTGTTTAATGGCTCCAGCTCCACTATGTCTACTGTACTGGCCTGTGACATAACCTGTGTCTAATGGCTCTCATTTCCCACTATGTCTACTGTACTGGCCTGTGACACAACCTGTGTTTAATGGCTCACAGCTCCACTATGTCTACTGGCCTGTACATAACCTGTGTTTAATGGCTCCAGTTCCACTATGTCTACTGTACTGGACACAACATCAACCTGTGTTAATTGGCTCCCACCTATGCTCTATACTGGCCTGTAGCAAACCTGTGTTTAATGGCTCCACAGCTCCACTATGTCTACTGTACTGGCCTGTGACACAACCTGTGTTTAATGGCCACAGCTCCACTATGTCTACTATGCCTGGACTGCACAACCTGTGTTAATGGCTCACAGCTCACTATGTCTACTGTACTGGCCTGTGACACAACCTGTGTTTAATGGCTCCAGCTCACTATGTCTCTCTTAGGCCTGTGACACAACCTGTGTTTAATGGCTCTGGCTCCACCCATATGTCTTGACTGACCTGTGACATAACCTGTGTTTAAGCCACAGCTCCATATATGTCTATGTAGTGGCCTGCCTAACCTGTGTTTAATGGCTCACAGCCACTATGTCTCTGTACTGGCCTGCCTTACATATGTTTAATAGCTCAAGCTCCCTATGTCTACTATGCTATGTCTTATGTGCAACCTGTGTTTAATGGCTCACAGCTCCATTCTATCTGCTGCATTGTATGTGACACAACCGTGTTTAATGGCTCACAGCTCACTATGTCTACTGTACTGGCCTGTGACTACAACCTGTTTTAATGGCTCCATCACTATGTCTGTGGCCTGTGACACAACCTGTGTTTAATGGCTCACATCCACTATGTCTACTGTAGCCTGTGACACAACCTGTGTTTAATGGCTCACAGCTCATTATCTCTACTGCTGGCCTCCTACCTGTGCTGTGTTTAATGGCTCACAGCTCCATTATGTCTACTGCTGCAGACTGTGAACTGTGTTTAATGGCTCCAGCTCCATTATGTCTACTGTAGCCTGTGACACAACCTGTGTTTAATGGCTCCATCCATTATGTCTCTACTGCTGGCCTGTGACACAACCTGTGTTTAATGGCTCACAGCTCCATATGTCTCTGCACTTAGCCTGTACAACCTGTGTTTAATGGCTCACAGCTCATATGTCTACTGTAGCTGCCTGCACAACCTGTGTTTGGCTCACACTCCATTATCTATGCTGGCCTGCACAACCTGTGTTTAATGGCTCACAGCTCCACTATGTCTACTGTACTGGCCTGTGAGACAACCTGTTTAATGGCTCACAGCTCCACTATGTCTACTGTACTGGACTGTCACACAACCTGTGTTTAATGGCTCAGTCCACTATGTCTACTGTACTGGCCTGTGACACAACCTGTGTTTAATGGCTCACAGCTCACTATCTACTGCACGCTGCCCTTAACCTGTGTTGGCTCACAGCTCCTATGTCTCTGTACGGCCTGTGACACAACCTGTGTTTAATGGCTTGTCCCTATGCTCTACTGTGCATATTTAATGGCTCTAGCTCCCTATGTCTACTGTGGCCTGTGACACAACCTGTGTTTAATGGCTCACAGCTCCACTATGTCTACTACTCTGTGCATAACCTGTGTTTAATGGCTCACAGCTCCACTATGTCTACTACTGACTGTGACACAACCTGTGTTTAATTCCAGCTCCTGTCTCTGCATGCTGACCTGTGACACAACCTGTGTTTAATGGCTCACAGCTCCTATGTCTACTGTTGCAACCTGTGTTTAATGGCTCCAGCTCCACTTCTACTGCTACTGGCACACAACCTGTGTTTAATGGCTCCAGACTCCACTATGTCTACTGTACTGGCCTGTACACAACCTGTGTTTAATGGCTCACAGCTCCACTATGTCTACCTGTTGATATGACTGTGTTTTGGCTCACAGCTCCACTATTCTATTGTTTAATGACTCACACTCACTGTCTACTGTACACATAGCCCTGCTATGTGTTTAATGACTCACCGGCTCCTATGTCTACCTGCTGACCTGTGACACAACCTGTATTTAATGACTCCCCAATACACGGTCACGTGAACAAGGCAGGTGGACTTGGTAGCGGTCACTACACTACCAACAACAGTGAAGTAATATTTTTTTTCACTGGAAGCAATATATGAACTGCTGACTTATTGTTTTGTTATATCTTAGTACGGAGAAGCAACTGACGTTTGTTTTATAAAAGTCAGCCAGAGAAAGTCTTAAGTAACGTGAGACTAATGGTGTCAGGTCAAACAAGCGGCAATGTTGTCAGGTGAGCTAAATTCTGCATCAATTTTTTTCTTCATGGTTTCTCCTGACATACCCAGAAGGGTGGAGAGGTAGCACATGGGTTATGTTGACAGTATCACCCCAACACTCCCACAGGTCACTCACTATAAGATCACGTGAGGAGCTCCGGGCGAGACCAAGACAAGCGACACAGCAGTTTAAGGTGCGTTCATTATACTTGTCCCCAAATTACTAAACATGAACTGCGTTTTCTGACGTTCCTTTTCGATTCAATTTTATTTGCCGTTGTCGCTTGTCTACTTATCGTCTCCTTATCTAAAACATTCAACTATAACTAAGTCACTCAATGTAGATTATCCTGCAAGAGAAAATATTATAAGGCACCACGAGAAGCAAAATATATAATGCGTCTGTCCTACCATCGTAAAAAATAATCAACTCTCACCTATCCCGTTATGCTATACACCTGACATTATGTTCTCCACTTTATGCAATTTATAGTAAATACTTCAGGTGAGACTCTCTAATCACTGTAGGAGCAGCAGCTGGTGAGTAAAGCGTCCAAGTCAGCTGTAAGTTACTGGCACGTAGGTTCATAGTTCCCTAAATACTGTATATCTCTTAACATATATATCCTTATATTATATTTACTTAATGATAGAATTATTATACAGAGCAATAAATATGATTAATAAAAGGTAAACAAACAACTGTAAGCGTTTCATTGAGCCAAACTAGAGGGGTATTGTACAGTGTTCTTCCTAACCAGCACACGTATACCACCACACTGCAGGTAAACGAGTCACAAGTTGTTAATTCTTATATTTTGCAAACAGAGGCATTCTGGTTCCCATGATGATGATGGACCTCAAAAATTAATTTAATACTGATAAAAATCGATCTGTCAACGACCTGAGCACTCATGTGTACAGGTTTGACCGAGTGATTGATTGTGGTAATAACATCCATCCCTAGCAGCGAAACTACAGGTATAGGAAATATATTATTCTTTCAGCTTTTTGACGATTCATACATCAAGGTTGTATGACATGGAAAAAAGTGATAAAAGCTCTCTTGCTTACCTTATCTATAAAGAACACACCCTCCACCCCAAAAAAAACATATTAGTACATGGCACACACAGTTCCATTCTTACCCTTTCACAGGACTCCCTCGTGATTAGCGGCTCCTGACGTGCAGTGAGGAACAGTTCCGCTACGGTTATATCCCACCAACACAAAGGTTATATCACAAGTCATTAACCTGGTAAAGATGGCGAGGTTACAATTCAAACTAAGATAATTATTGAATCGTGTCAAGTCTGAATCCTGATATAAACCATTATATAATATCATAAACCATCATCCACCACTTCCAGATCATTTACGTTCACTTAGGTTTTATGAACACTGACTGACACTTATGATATCACTTCCCAGCGTAGTGTTTTTTTTTCACTCCAATAGAGCGTGGATTCCTCCTCCTCTATTAACATCAGAGACTACAATCCAACAGAGATTTCCTATCTGTTACGGGTGAAAAATATATAGTAGAAAAATATCACCAACTCACGAAAATATGTTATGGAGAATGAAACAGACAGACAGACAGACACGTTCGTTCCAAAACAGTATGGTGCCAACTCTGATTCCTCATATGAACAAGATTAGATTAAATGTACACCCACTAAAAAATTATTCGGCACCCGTGTCATATTGTATCAGGCCGTAAGGGTGCCGAATAAGTTTTAATAATTGATACAACATTTGTGTATTGAGTTATTCATAAACCTAATTAAATCCAACCTGTCTTGGACAAACCTGCCCAGACTAACCAGACCTGACCTTAATTAAACAAAATTAATGTATATACGACTTATGAGTCTTTTTTATCGTATATATGTACACTTGGCACGTTGTATTGTGACCAATAATAGTTCATATGTTAAGAAGGACGTTTTAGCTATTAAAATATATCTCCTACAAAAATTAGCCAAACACTCACATACACAGAAAGTTATCGATTTATTTTATTACTTCAGAATGAAAGGCACGTGAACAGGTTACATAATTATATAACTACAGGTGAATAATTGCCCGAACAATGTTGTTAACAAACTAGCTGACCAAGAGTGGACGGGAGATGGTGCACGACAATCCCTGAAGGTGCTGTACTTTGTAACATTCAATACCAGTATCCTGACCGTTAGGGTCTGTTGCATACATCTTTTGTAATTTCTACTCTGTAATCCTTTTTGAGCTACCGTTCACAGGATGAGTATTGGGTGCACGAGAAACTAGCCACCGTCCGCGACAAAAAAACCCTCACCCTGGCGCCACCCTCCTCCCCCTCATGGCTCAATCGTTACAATCTTTTCCCAGACTCACTGAGCTAATATTAGTACAGTATTTGTAAATCATTAGCTTCATTACCTTCTTTTTCATCCCAATTCTTTCACTGCTCGCCTCCGCTAATCAAGTATGATGTATAATATATTATACATGTAAATGATGATACATTTATTTCACCACTAATGGTCAGCAAAACAATGGATTTTCTTCCATAACCTTGACGGCAGTGTACATTAAGACTTCTGACAGCAGAGGAGTGGTCAATAACAGATTCTCCCCGCAATGGGCCGCGCGAAGCGTGTGGGTACTGAGTGATCACTGTGTTTGTTTGCTTGTTTGTCCCGGGGATATATCAGGCGACATTTTTTGAACTATGAAGTGAAATTTGGACACAGTAGTGATCTGCTGCCCTTTACATGTTACATATAATTGTTCATGACATAACATGGGGAGCCTCGTACACTAAGTCCCATTATAGGTAATAGCTATGGACCGTCGTCCTTATAAGCCATCTAAGGCTCAGGACACGAAATAAATATAACGGTAACGAATAGAGATAATAATATGACGCTGATCCCTGTTATCATCAGTCTCCCAGTCAGTTGACAACGTGAACCACTGGAAACGGGCAACCCTGAATACGAAACTAGCTCGACACTAACACGACCTACAGGCACAACCAACGACCAGCCTCAATACAATTTCACCCAAATTGATATCAATCTATTAGTCTATGGAAGTTATCAAGCAGAAACCTAACCTACAACGGAAAGACAGAGTATCACCACTATCTGTCTCAACTTTCGGGTCTGAAGGATAAAATGAAAGACGAGACTATTTGTTATTTTATCAGAAAACGCCGACTGTATGTCTGGTTATACAAGATAAGTTTTGCGAAGGAACAGAAACTGGCGGAAACAATGATGGTGATGAGAAGAAAAAGTTCACTGTTAGAGAGGAACACTATGTTAGGACAAAGACGTCTTATAAACGAACACAGCTGATCCCCCATACTGTCAAGAGAAAGTAACAACACCACATTACAGACAAGACGTGTGTTTCGACGCCACACCACAACAGTTGAGGCAATGTCAAGATACCGGCAGGAGGGAAGTAGTTGCTACACTGCCCACAAGTGGAAGAAAATTATCTAAGAAATAATAGCAAAGCCAACTGCAGTATGAAAATGCATATGAACTAAAAAAATGTGAGGAAAACAGGTTGAGGTGGTGACAAACTAACCGACGAGTCCAGGAGAGAGCTAGAACAGTCTTTCGCAAACTGCTGTTAAGATATACAGAGTTACCTCCTTAAAGACCATAAATCATTCACAGGTCACCACTGGAGGCATCCCATACAGCGTCACCAGTGTTGGGCATCACCATATAAAGTCACCACTGCTGGGGATCACCATACAAAGTCACCAGTGCTGGGCATCACCATATAAAGTCACCACTGCTGGGCATCCCATACAGCGTCACCAGTGTTGGGCATCACCATATAAAGTCACCACTGCTGGGCATCACCATGCAAAGTCACCAGTGTTGGACATCACCATACAAAGTCACCACTACTGGGCATCACCATACAAAGTCACCACTGCTGGGCACGACCATACAAAGTCACCAGTGTTGGACATCACCATACAAAGTCACCACTACTGGGCATCACCATACAAAGTCACCAGTGTTGGGCATCACCATTATAAAGTCACCACTGCTGGGCATCACCATACAAGTACCAGTTTGGGCATCACCATACAATGTCACCACTGCTGGGCATCACCACAAAGTCACCAGTGCTGGACATCACCATAAATCACAGCATCACCAAAAGACATCCATCAAGTCACCACTGTTGGGCATCACCATACAAAGTCACCACTCATCCAGTGTTGGACACAAAGTCACCACTCTAGCATCACCATACAAAGTCACCAGTGTTGGGCATCACTGTAAAAAGTCATCACTGCTGGGCATCACCATACAAAGCATCACCAGTGTTGGGCATCACCATACAATGTCACCACTGCTGAGCATCACCATACAAAGTCACCTAATAAGCATCACTGCATAAAGTCATCACTCTGGGCATCACTATACATACACTTATACATAATCACCACTCATCACATAAGTCACCAGTGTTGACATCACCATATAAAGTCACAACTTGGGCATCACCACAAAGTCACCAAGGGCATCACCATATAAAGTCACCACTGTTGGGCATCACCATACAAAGTCATCAGTGTTACATCACCACCACTGCTGGGCATCACCATACACAAAGTCACCAGTATTGGGCATCACTACACAAAGTCATCACTGTTGGGCATCACCATATCAAGTCACCAGTGTTGGGAATCACCATATAAAGTCACCAGTGCTGCATCACCATACAACGTCACCACTGTTAGCATCACCATATAAAGTCACCAGTGTTGGGCATCACCATATAAATTCATCACTGTTGGGCATCACCATATAAAGTCACCAGTGTTGGGCATCACCATAAAGTCACCAGGTTAGCATCACTATATAAAGTCACCAGTATAGCATCACCATACAAAGTCACCAGTGTTAGGCATCCCCATATAAAGCCTACCAGTGTTGGGCATCAACAAAGTCACCAGTAGGGCATCACCATATAAAGTCACAGTGCTGGCATCAACTATATAAAGTCACACTGCTAAGCATCACCATATAAATTCATCACTGTTGGGCATCACCATAAAAGTCACCAGGCATCACCATATAAATTCATCACCGTTAGGCATCAACATATAATCATCACTGTTGGCATCACCATATAAAGTCACCAGTGTTGAGCATCACTATATAAAGTCACCAGTGTCGGGCATCACCATATAAAGTCACCAGTAGTCACCATATAAAGTCACCAGTGTTGGGCATCACCAAATAAAGTCACCACTGCTGGGCATCACCATACAGCATCACCAGTGTTGGGCATCACCATATAGTCATCACTGTTGGGCATCACCATATAAAGTCACCACTGCTGCATCACCATACAAAGTCACCAGTTTTGGGCATCACTATATAAAGTCACCAGTGTTGGCATCACCATATAAAGTCAGCACTGCTGGAATCAATATAAAATCATCACTGTTGGGCATCATATAATGTCACCAGTGTTGAGCATCACTATATAAAGTCACCAGTGTCGGGCATCACCATATAAAGTCACCAGTAGGGCATCACTATATAAAGTCACCAGTGTTGGGCATCACCAAATAAAGTCACCACTGCTGGGCATCACCACAGCGTCACCAGTGTTGGGCATCACCATATTAAGTCACCAGTGTTGGCATCACCATATAAGGTCACCAGTGTTAGCATCACCAT